CGCTATTAACAAGCTCACTCTCTTTGGTTGCAACACTCTACAGCCTCATGCTCAAGTAGGACAGAAGTTGACACTCATGTCCTCAAACAAAAGGAAATAAGCAAAAAGCAGCACTTCCACCTGAAGCAACTGCAACATACCTGAGACCCACCCAGGGATGGAAAGACCCGGATTCTAACTCAGGGTCTGGGCGCGGGAGCAGAGTCTGCATCTCTAACCAGCACCCACAGGTGCTGACAGCAGGCCCTCAGCCACACGTGCACAGGCGTCTGCACTGCACCATGCAGCAGCCCCTACAGCCAGCTGCCTCCATTGCCACCCAATTCTTCCCTCCACAAGTCTGCACTGGGAACAATGACACCCATTTGGAAACTAGTCTTGCAAAAGTGCTCAGGAATATACCAGGGGAGTATGGGAGTATGGGGACCAGACAATTTGAGAGGATGTCTGTCCGGGGACTTATCAAGGCCCAGGAGTCCCGCGCACACAGAGAGGATCTTTCCAAAGAGAAGAGAGGCAGCATCATCGGTCTTTCACGACTACGCGCTGTTGTGCTAAACCTCGCCACTAGGTGGCGCAAGGAACTCGCGGTCTATCCCACTTTGAGCTTTGTGACTTTTTCCCTTGCCTGTCATAGAGGCACAGTCGGTGCCGGTCCCAGCTGCCTGACCTTTCACCTCTGCCTGCCAGGAGTGCCATCCACGGGGTCTTACTGCATCTACGTTTAGCTATCTCGGATAAGGGAGATTAAGATGGAGCAGCCACACTCCGGGCTGCTGAATCTTAGGGGTGCACCAAGAAACGGCACTTCTGAGCCGGTAGAGCCCTTCTACCCGCTCCCTGCACAAGCAACTGGCCAGCGGAGAGAAGCGTGACGCCTGACCAAGGCAGCCAGCCCAGCCGTTGGCTCACACGCGGAGTCCAGGGATCCGGCTCAGAGAGGTTAAATAACATGACCAGGACAAGGGTCACACTTCCTGCCCAGAACCTTCATACTTTATCACCTTCTGGAGTGCTCCTCTACTTTAATCATGACCACAAAAGTGATCAGGAGTAGCGCAGATTGAACTCTGGACCTTAAGCTTGCCAGGCACATGCGTATTCTACTGAGCTATCTCCCTGGCACTGAACAAGACATAATTTATTCTACGATGCAAGCATTAATGTAATTCTGAAACTGGGGAGGGTTTAGAAATAATAAATGTGTGGGTCAATATATGCCATAAACAAAAAATGAAAAATTTTTTTTTTCTGAACTAGTTTTCATTATGCAGTTAGGGCAGGCCTTCAATTCACTTTATAACCCAGGCTGGTCTCAGGCTCCCAATAGTCCTCCTGTCTCTGCTTCCTGAGTGCTGGGGTTACAGGCATGCACAAGGCCTGGCCAGAAATAAAAAATTTTATAAATAGTTTCAACCAATTAGATGGGACAAATATGTATTAATCATTATACTAATAAAACAACTGAAATTCTTTCCATTAATAAAAAGGTGATTTAACATTTGATCATTTATTAAGCCATCACATGCATAGAACAAGATAAAACACTTATAATCATGAACGTATGTAAAGAAGCACTGAAGAAACTCCAAAGCCCTGTCATAAAAAATCTCAACCTAGAAATAAGCATAGTCTAATTCATATAAGAAAGTTTATCTTCAACTTAGACATGCTGGCATCTGCCTGTAATACCAGCATTTGAGAGGGAGAGGTAGAAGGATCACCTTAAATTCAAGGTCATTGTGGGCTATTTGATGAGTTCTTCAAAAGGAGAAGGCTGCTGCCATTGCCCCATTGTGCAAACCTGGATTCTTTCACATGAAGGGCAAGAGTTTTGTAAGGATGCGCATGCTCACCTCTACTGTTAACATTTTACTCCAGTTGGGAGATAATACCACACACAAGAAAAAGACATAAAGGATGAACAAATTGAAAAAGAGTGACAAATTTTTCTTTGTTTGCAAATAAAAAAAAAAAAGAAAGAAAGAAAGAAACGGCACTTCTTTCCGTCTCCGGGATGCTGCTGGACCAGTGACATCACCACGGGTGCCCCTGCCACGGACAGGAGGGGCAGGCCCAGGTGTCCCTCACCTGCACCTCACTTCCAGTCACGCCCGGGCCTCTGCCCAATGCCTGCAACAGAATTCCCCTAACACTGGGAAGGCTGCCCCATCCCTACAAGCAAAGCCCAGCGGTGGACACCATGGCCGCCGTGCAGGGACCGCAAAGAGGATCAGGTGCAAAGGTTCCTCTCCGGAGCATCACTGGGAGATAGGAAATGCACACGTCCCCTTCCCCTCCCCCCACGGCACACCTACAGACTCTAACATTTGCATGGACTGGCCCCAACACAGCTCCCCTGAGAGCTAATTAGGGGGAACCTTGGCGAGGACCCACAATATTTCACACAGCACAGGGACTCCAGAGGTGATGGCCACGGTGCAGAATCTACTGGGCTCTCAGAGGGAAGCTGTGCTAAACTAACCCAGGAGCAGAAGCCAAGAAATCAGAGGGGAGCAGAATACATGACGTCAGGACAGACAAAGGGATGTCAGGACAGATGCTGCAGGCCCGGTGTCCCTGTAGGGATGGAGTGGAGGGGCTGGGCCAGGCCAAGGAAGGCCACAGCCACTGCCACAGCTCCAGCCTGAAGTACAGAACTGGGTGCCACTGATCACCCAACCACAGCCGCCAGACGTGGCCCTACTCAGCGGCCTGCACCTCTCTCCAGCTCTGTGACAACCACAGAGCCTGTGCGGGTCCCAACAGCTGCAGGGGAGCAGCAGTGGTCACCAAGGCAGCAAACCTGGGTCTCATGAGCTCCACCGGTAGATTCTGAGAGTGAATGAACCACCTCTCCCTACCTTCAGGATTCTTCTCGGAGGTTCAACCAACCAGAATAGAAAAGAAAAAAACTCCTTTTTACTGTATTTGTACTGAGTACATACAAATATTTTTTCTTCCTTCTTTTTTTTTTTTTTTTTTGGCTTTTTGAGACAGGGTCTTGCTATGTAGTACAGACTGGCCTTGACTCACCATGCAGCCCAGGCTGGCCTAAACTTTAGGAGATCCTCCTGCCTCAGCCTCTCAAGTGCAGGGATCCCAGGCACTTGAGATCCCAGTGCTACCATGCCCTGCCACTATTTTCTTGTCATGGCTTATTCCCTAAACAATGCAATAAAGCTGTTTACACAGCAACTATCCACCTGTATTGAGTACTTTAAGAAATCTAGAGGTGATTTCAGGTACACAGCAGGTGGTGCTTGGGTCATACGCAAATACAATAACATCACATCTTGGGAGCAGTACCCATGGAGGTCCGGGAGCCAAGACCCCTGACCACAAAAGCATGGACTGCCCCACTTTCCAAAGGCTCCACGGATGCCTTTCCCCTCTCCCCCTGCCCCACCTGCACTTGGTTCTTCTGGCTGGCCATGTGCCGAGCCGCCCTCTCAGGCATAGCGGGTGACTATCTGGGGAGGGTCTGGCCAGGGCCTGGTGACACCTTCAATGCCAGCCCAGAAGGGGAGGGTGAGGCCCTGCTTGGGCAGAGGACCCAGGGTGCATCAGAGTTCTCAGTGGGGACTCAGTGGCCACTGAGTGCACCTCACGTTCCCAGAACCCACATCCTCCATAATGCTTCCTGGAGCTACCAAGCACAGAACAGAGCAGGAGTCGGTCGGCCCAGAAACCGGAACCAGAAGCTCCATGTGGGCTGAGCCCCTCTCCACCCTCCACATCCAGAACAGGCGCTTCCCATGGTCGGCCCAGAAACCGGAACCAGAAGCTCCATGTGGGCTGAGCCCCTCTCTGCCCTCCACATCCAGGACAGGCGCTTCCCATGGCATCACGCCAGGCACAGAGAGGACACCCCTCATTCATGCCGCAGACCATGCGGGTCTCAGAGGCACCTGGGGGTGCTGGACAAAGCACACATGGATGTCCATGTTTAAAACGACTTCACAAGGCCCACCTGCCCTTCGCAGCTGCACTGCTGCGCTGCCTCTGCAGAGCTCAGCTGTCTCCTCTCCTGAGTGCTGTCATTTCCCCTGAATTCACTTTGCAGGGTTGTCCCCAAGAGGCAGAGGAGCGCCACCTCAGGGCGAGGGCCTGCGCCCACCTCTGCAGCCACCCGGCACACACAGAAAACACGGTGCACACTCTCTTCACACTGTACACACAGGGCACACACACCTGGCACTACACACATGGGGCATGCACACCCCTCACACTACACACACCGGACACTCACGTACCTCACACTGCACACACGGCGTGCTCACTGCACACATACCACACACTGGACACCTCATCCACACACATAACACATGATGCTAAACCCATTCTCTCATCACCCACAAACCCTCCCTTTGCTCCCTCTCTCCCTCCCTCAGGGCCTCACAGGAAAGCACAGTCAGTTTTGAGCCACCACTTTGTCTCCTAACAAGGATGAAACTCGATTTCTCCCACTGTGATCTCAGTTCAGGGACAGTTCCTGTCCCCAGGCCTGCAGCTGCCAGGCAGCTGGACACTGAGTTCCAGGCCCCCACTCAGGCACCATGGAAGGTGCAGGTCGCTGTGAAAGGCACCACCTCGGGTAAGGGAGACCGAGGCACGCCCCATCCACCCTGATGGAAGCACACTCATGTCTGACCTCAGGTGCAGGCCAAAGCCATGAGAGCTGCCAGCTGTGCAGTACAGGAGGCCGGATCAGGAAGGAAGAGGCCACTGAGCCTCAATTCTCAGGCTGAGGAAGAAGCCACCAACAAGGGCCACTACTCCTCTAAGGAGGCTTTGTCCAGCAAGTGCCCGGGCCTGGAACCTGACCTCGCATTGCCTCCTGGGAATCAAACATCACCCTGACTACTCCTCAGGCTGGGGTCACTTCAGAGGAGAAACCAGCCCTGAAGACAGACACAGGAAGCAAAACTGGACCAAGTGGGGTGCAAACCCAGCCCACCCCTCTATTCTGACATGCTTAGCCTGACACAATAAATCCACCAAGAAGCCCTGTAGCCAGCACCACAGAATGGACCTTACGTGTTCGGCTTTTTGCCTCCAAATGAGGCCTCCAACCTTCTGTGCCTAAGACTAAAGGACCAGGCTCTTCCCTCCTCCTGTGTGCCCAGGAAGGCAGGCCCAGTGTCCTGCCACCAGAACAGGGAGAGGAGAAGATGGCCTGCATACAGGGGCAAAAGTGAAGGTGAGTAGTCTGCCATCTGCTAATCAAGCTTTGAGGAAAGCCTCATCCTGTCCACTGAAATACATAGCAAATACATAAACCTGAGTGGCTGCTGACACTAAGACAGCTTCATCTGTGCAGGTAGAGGCACTGGGACGGCCTCGCCTTTAGCGGGAAGTGGACAGCAGGTGATTGCTGGAGCCATGGTGAACCCCAACCCTGCCTCCACTTGCCTGGGACTCCCCCAGGCTGGACCTAGAATGCCCCACATCTGGAACCGCAGGCAGGGAAAGCAGGGTGCTGCCACCTGCTCAGCATGCTGCTGCTGCTGGACACGGGTATGCTTGGTGAGTGACCGTTCAGAGCTGGGTGCCTGTGAACACCTGTGACCTTCAATAAAGTGCGTGAAGTTGACAGTTCCCTGTGAGGCACGCACCTGGGCCTGCAGCTCTGCCCGCTGCACCTGCAGGTGGGATAGCGCCTCCTGGCCCTCCTCCAGCTGGCTCTGCAGCGAGGCCACCTCGCGTTCTGTCAGGAGCTTCTCCTGCCAAAGAAGGCCACTTTCAGGTCACACAGGTAAAACCCCAGGGGGAAAAGGGCTTGTGACAGACACATGTCTCTGTCCCCCCAGGTCAGGTGTGGGGAGCCCCAGGCCCAGGGAATAATATCAGAAAGAAGGACCTGTCTGTGGGGGATGACACAGGTCAGCTGAGATCACAAAGGGTGACCCACAAAGGGACCAGATCCCTGTGAGAAGAGGAAGCAACACCCAGGGTGGCCATGCACATTCAAACCACAGTCACACTCACAGTGTCCCAAGAACAGCAAAACACAACAATGCCAAGGCTGACACAGCAAAGCAGCCAAGGATGCAAAGCAACAGGAAGTCCTATCCAACGCTGGGGCAGGGGCATGTCTGGCAGGACTGTCTGTCCCCCTGGGAACAACCTGGGGTTGGGTCCCCACCATATAGCACGTGACAATGGGAGCTTCCCAGAACAAAGGTGTTTTTTGGAGAGGCCCCATGACGAACTCCTGGTGGCTTTCTGAGAAGACCGATCAGAGGAGACACACACGCTCCCAGGGCCACCATGGGGCTCTGCCAACAGACATGGCCTGGACTCCAGAACCTCCAGCCTAAGTAACCTTCCTGTCCCACTTGCTCCACTGTGGAAGTGTGCTTTGGCAGCAAACACTGACTGCAGGAAAGCAGTCTGGGGGTTTCCTGTGGAGCACACAGAGGGAACAACTGAGACAAGCCACCTCAGAGGATGGGCAGGACGTCAATGGCCTCAGAGGTCAAAGCAGCAGCATCACAGGGCAAGCAAACAGACGAAATTTCAGAGTCAAAGCAATGTGGCTGTCTGACCCAGGATGCCCCAAGTTCAATGAGGTCTTGGGGTGTGAGGAAACAGTCCCCCAGGCAACCCAGGTGCTCACCTCCCTTATCCCATATGTGACAGCAGGCGCCTGAGGTGCAGCCTGGATGATCTGCTGCAGGACGCTGATGTAGGTCTGGATTTCCAGAAGATTCTATGGGGCAGGGAGAGCATTTGTGTGAGTCCAGGAATGGGTCTTTGACACCTTCTGCCTTGACCCCAATCAAGGTGGGGATGGGCTACCACTGACTGGCCCCAGCATGTGTCCGCCATGGGGTGGGCACTCCACATGTCCTTTGACCTTCACAAGAACAGTGGGACAGGTGGGTAAACTAAGGCACAGCTCATTTTGCCATTTCTCTTCAGCTACCTAGATGCTGGGCTGCTGTCTTCACTGAGAAAGCAGGACCACCGAGCCTGGAGGGATGAAGGACACCTGCCCAGGACAGCACTTCCCATTTGGCAGCCTCACTAAGCAGAGCCTGGCAGAATGTGAAAGTGTGGGCCAGGGAGATAGCTCAGTAGAATGAGCGCTTGCCTGGCAAGTGCAAGGGCCTGAGTTCAATCCCTGGATCTGCAAACAAACAAACAAACAAACAAACAAAAAAATGTCTCAGGCACGTCCTGCTGCAAAGCAGGGCTACCATCCACAGGGTAGCCAGTCCCTTTCCTAGCCAGGATGCCTGTCCCCAGCTGTGAGTGACGACTGTTTAGCCAGCCTCAGTCACCTTGTCCAGGAAGCAACACGGCAGTTTCATCCCAGCATTGGCAGGACTAACACAGGACTCAGGAGCATGACCTGGGCTGCGGGGCAGCAAGGCTGGGCTCCCCCCACTCATGCCCTGGCTCCAAGCTGAGTCACCATCTCAGAAGTTGGAGAGTTGCCAGAGGGAAGGGAAGGCACTTCCGTGCAGAGCAAAACACACAGAGCTCGGCACAGGCAGCGCCCTCTCAAGCTCCCAGTGGCCCTGCCACCCACATGGCTTACTTCGGTTTCCCCAGGAGCAGACCCTGCGAGGAGGATCTGAGTGCACTTGGGTGATTTGGGGATGTGGCTGAGAAATATAGCCAGTAGGGGTGTGGGAAGAAGAGAGGGCAGGCGGTGAGGGTGTCACCAACCAGCCTCCGGTGGGCACCTGGCACTCTATTGGAGGAGCAGGACAGGGGGGACAAAAAGCCTCAAAGTTACTGCACAGAGGTGAGTGAGAGAGAGGGTGCTGGAGCAGGAGGTGGCTGAAATAGATGGTGAACGTTCAAACCTTTTATAGTTTATTACAGTAAAAGACACATCACCATGAGTCCACCTCAAAACCCTCCCCCTCCCCTCGGACACACGTATCCCACTGTTCTTGCCACTCTCTGCAGCAGCTCTGCGAGTCTTCTTTGATGAGTGTCTTTCCAAGGTGTGATGAAAACTACGGTCAATGCTGCTGCCAGGTTCCAGGTAACAGAAAGGCAGGCGCAGAAAAACAGGACCCTGTGTCCTCATCTACCTTATTCACTGGCTCTGGTGCTGTGCAACTTCTCGCTCCTCCCCAAGATCAAAATGACCAAGACCAGTTACTCAAGACACCCAGGCAGCCTCCACTGAGTAACTGAAAGCATTCATAAAAGAGCACATTCAGAAGTGCTTCAGAAAGTACCAAGAACAGGACGGGCCAGAGGCGGTGATGCCCTGCTGTAATCCCAGCACTCGGGAAGCAGAAGCAGGAGGATTGCCACGAGTTCGAGGCCAACCTGGTTACGCAGTTAAGTTCAAGGCTAGCCTGAACGACATGAGACTCTGTCTCAAAGAAACAGAAAGTGGCAAGAACAATGGGATAAGTGGGTTCACTTACAAAAGATCTGTCTTAATTAAGCTACAGCATCTACAACTACTCTCTGGTACAGTCTGTAGTATAACCCAGTAGTGGCGAACCTACGGCACACGTGCCACAGCAGGCTATTTGAATCACTGAAAGTTCCAGAAGGGTTTGCCACCACTGGTACAGTTATGAGTCATAATACAAATAGGCAACTTTTTTCAGCCCAAAAAATGTAGAAGTGCAGAACATACACAAATCTATGTATAGTGCTACAGCTCTTCGCATTTTACCAGGTGCTTCGTCTCCCATTCTCTCCGGTCTCCTCCCACTCCCCAGCCTTAGAGGCCTGGCTGTGGGAGCCTCAAAAAATAAAATCCTGGAGCTGTGGAACCAGGTGTGTGGCCCAACCTCTCTAGGCCACTTCTTCCTCCTCCTGTGCAACACCAGCCTCCCCTTCCCAGACAGCGGTTGGGGCCCTAGGGGCACAGAGCCAGGGTGCCTCCTCCTGCACCCAGTTTCTGTACCTGAGGGCTCCTTCCAGCAGCTGAAGCTGCCCTGTCCCACGGGGAGGCCCTGGGGACCCTCTGTCACTGGGAGCAGCCTCAGCGGGGGTTACAGGAACTCACAGGTACCCACTCCCAACATCATAACACCAAGGCACCTACCTGCCTACTCCCCCGTGTGCCTAGCTCAGGGAGTGTGGCCAGTAACCGGCCTGTCCCCTCGGCCCAGCCTGGTTTGCCTCAGAGGAAAACCCACCAAAGGTGGCCACTGACTTTCAGCCACAAGCATCTGGGCCCATACAGTGAGCCCAAGCTGGGGAAGGGCAGCGGGGCATCGCACTTACCTTTTTGTTCCTGTCCTTAGCTGCGCTGATATCATCCTGCAGGAACTGGGCCTCGAGCTGAAGGCGCAGGTTACGCAACAAGGCTTCATCGGCTTCCTGCAAGGAGAAACAGTCACGCACCGGGGGGGCAGGTGCTGTGGGGCATCAGGAGGAGTGCAAAGTCAGCCAGGTGGGGAGCACGCAGACCACCAGGAAGGCAGGCTCCTGATCATTCAAGGATCTGCAAGGAGACCTGCAACTCTGCTCCAGCAAAGAATCAGCTCAGCCATTAGACCTGGCATAGAACAGCGGTCCCCATGAGGGTGACTCCCCCCTCAGCAACATGCAGCAATGTCTGGAGACGGTTTTCATGTCACAGCTTGAATGGTGGGGTACTTCCCTTCATATCTAGTGGGCATAGTCAGGGAGATGGCCAAATACACAATATGTGTGTAATCACACACACGCGCGCGTGCACACATATACACGTGCACACACACACACACACACACACACACACACACCATAAGCCCCAAAGAATGCTGTAGCCTAAAATGTCTACAGTCTCCAAGGCCAGGGATATATAGCTCAGCAGTGCAGCACCTGCCTGGCAAGCATAAGGTCCTGAGTTCAATTCCCAGTACCAAAAAAAAAAAAAAAAAAAAGTCTCTGGTCCCTGGGTTGAAACCTTGCACTAACAATGGGCCTGGTGGCTGCAGCATGCCTATAATCCCAGCACTTGGAAGCCTGAGGCAGAAGGATTGCTGTGAGTTCAAGGCCAACCTGAGCTACACAGTGAGTTTAAGGTCAGCATGGGTTAGACAGGGTTTGAATAGCAAGTCTGTATTTATTCTGAATCTTGCCGTCAGTGACTTCAGGCTACAAGAAAAACCATTTCCCTTAATAACAAAATCTTGTACTTTAATAGTTTTTTCCTAATAACTGCCGACACTCACCTTGAGACAGAACTTTAACACAAAATGTATTTTTTTAGACTGGGTGCTGTCATAAAGGAAGTCCACTCCCTTGAAGTTGGAAATGACGCTCATCACAGAAGGGTGAACGTTCTCACCAAACTTGCCGATGATTCAGACTTTGATCTCTTTGGCCTTGCTTGGATAGATCACGGGTATAAAAGAAGTGTTCACACACTTAGGATCATGCTGTGATGCTCAGAACTGGCTGCGTGCCGGGGCATGCTCAGTATTGTGCCTCAGGTGGACACTGCTTGGATCTGGGGGACCCCTCACCCTGCCATGCACATCTGCCAACCCGAGGCTTTGCCCAAGGGTTCTCACTGACTTATTATTGTCTTGCTAACAGCAGGATGAATATTAGAAATGGCCTCTCATTACACACATATAATATTCAATAACGGAACTTAGAAAAAATGGGGTATACCTATGAATGTCCATTTTGTATCTGTGTATTCAAAGTGGTTGGGATAGATATATAGTTGCATTCTCTTAATGAATAGAATGATTTGTTCTAATGGTGTTTGTAAATAGGATCACAAGTCCGCATCTTGTACAGCAATTAACCACTAAGAAGAATATATGCAGTGTATTATTTGTTGAAACTGTTCTTCCGATTTGATTTGAAACTGTCTCATTGCTGTTTATCAATAAAACTTTGAATAAAAAAAAATGGCCTCTCATTAATAAAGGTGGGTGTGTGGCTCAGCTAAATCTTTAGGGGCATCGTCCACACCTGGATAGACAGGTGAGATGCCCCAGACATGAGGTCTGGCCAAGGTCTTCTGGGACCTGCCACCCTGCTCTGTCAGGTTAGGTTCTAGACAGTCCTTTAGTGCATTCTCAGGAACAGTGCTTAATTCTTCCACCGCCCTTGGAGAGCCCCCTGGCTTGGCAAGACCTCATGTCACTGATGCTGACCACGTGGATATGGACAAAATGACTATCAGAGGAGCCCTCGTGTGGGCTTTCTATGCCACACCATCTTTGCTCCTGTGACAACTTCGCACAGCTGCCAAAGTCAGCTGCCAAGCTCTGGGGAGCTTTGCTGTCTGGGATGGGCACCCACCCGTGCAGCAGGGGCTCACTGAGCAGAGACTCCACACTGGAGTGGGGATACCTCTCATAAAGGTGTGTGTGTGTGTGGCTGGGCCTGGGAGTGGGTGCTGCACAGAGGTCTGGAGTCCATTCCTTGGGTGTTTTCCTCCTGCTTCCTCAGTAAGTGGCTGAGAGTGGGGAGGGTAGAGAATTCTCACGCATCTCAAGTCTTACCACAGCTCATCCACTCATCCACTTATCTGCAATCACTGGAGCTGGAGAACTGGAAATAGAATTTGGGGGGCCCTTTTCGTTATTACTTAGAAATCAAACATCTAGAATTTTAGAGATAGAAGGGCCCCTCGGTGTCATGGATCCCCAAACTTTGCTTTTACATCACAGGTGGCATCCTTCTAAGAATCCCATGGAAGCCGATGTGTGGAATCAAAGCAGAGGGGCGATGGTGCACACCTGTAATCTCAGCACTGGGGAAGCTGAGGCAGGAGGAGCACTGCCAGTTCAAGGCCAGTCTGTGTTACATAGTGCACTCAGGGCCAGCCTGAACTACATAGCAAGACCCTGTCTCAAAACAATACCAAAGAAAGAGCGAGAATGCAGGGAGGCATGGAGTTTTGCTTATGTTTTTGTTGTGCAGGGAGAATGGGGACCCAAGACTCAATCCCAGGCATCGCACACACTAAGCATGCGATATACCACCGAGCTACGCCCTCCCCAGGGACCCTCCTCTTGCAGGGCACAGAGGGCACAGGGATCCCCAGCAGCCCTACAAGCAACTCCTACAACCTAAGGTTCTGCTGAGCAGAACTTGAAACCAAAGCGGGCTCCGGAGAGTGACAGCTGGGCTGGGAGCCACTCTGCTATGAAGAGATGTCAACAGCCAGTCCTGGGCTGGAATCAGTCCTGTGTTTCCCTGAGCCAAGGTGTGTGTGTGCCAAGCAGGGATACCGTTTTCAGGCACCCACATCCTTCTCCACCTCCTCCCGGGGTTCCCCCAGCAAGCATCCCAGGTCCTGCAAGTGCAACAGAAAGCCGCTCACGGGAGTGACAAGCCAGTTTGGGCTTGTCTTGACCATCAGGCCCAATCAGAGGCTCCTGCAGGCTCAGTGCTTCTACAATTCACTCCTGGGGCCCTGCTTTGAGAAAGATCTCCTGATAATGTCCCCCAAAGCCCCAAAGATGAACCTGGCCAGCTGGACGGCAGCTGCAGATCCGGTGGGGAGAATGTGTTTTGGAAGTATTTTTCTTTTGTTTGCACCAGAATTCAGAAATGTGTAGACGCTGGTGTTTCTATTGTGTCCAGGATGCTGTCAGCTGAATTTCCCAAAGCTTCACCAGCAGGAGCATCGAGATTTTTCTGAATTGAGACTCTGGGTTAATTTTAGAAAATGATCCAACCCTGGCATTGTGGATGTTCTGGTTCTAGAACAGTGATCCTGAGGGCAGCCCTGTGTCACACTGTCTGGAAACTGGTGAGTCATAGAAATGACCCCGTGGATCCCAGGTTTCCTGGGTCAGAATTTCTGGAGCCAGGAGCCAGAAGTCTGGGTGTAACCTCTCCACATGATGTGGAAGCACAGTAAAGGGACCAGAGGAATGATAAGAGTTCAAGGCACCCTTGGAGATTAGCCTTGACAACCTGCTCCTGGGGGCCCAGGGACACTGCTAAAAACCCCACTATAGAATGAAAACTCAGGGCCAGGGAGATGGCTCAGTGGAGTAAGCGCTTCCCTGGCAAGCGCAAGGACCTGAGTTCAACCCCCGGTTCCGCAAAAAAAAAAAGAATGAACGTTTAAGTTCATGAAAGTGGCTGATTAGCTAAGGTTTCAGTCAAAAGATAATTTACCTTCCACCTTGTGCGTCAAAATCTCTGTGCTCTCCCTCAACGGCAGGAAGCTGGCAGCCCTGAGCACTGAGGTGGGGCTCTGCACCCCTCAGCTCACACCCTGCCCTCCCTGCCTGTACTCCTCCCTATGGATGCATGAAAGGGAGAAGCACTTGTGCCCGCAGCTTGGTGTGTATGTGTAAGTCATCTTTAAGCAGAAGCATTTGACTTGAATTTCCATCACTTACTATGGGTTTAATAAAAAAAAAAAGAGGGGAACTCTGAGGTCTGCTCCTAGCCATTTCCTTAAAATAAACGAACTCAGAAGCCAACCTTGGTGGTGTACACCTATAATCCCAACACTTGGGAGTCTGAGGCAGGAGGAGTCTGTTGCTATGAGTTCAAGGCCAGCCTGAACTGGATAGTGAGTGAGACCTGTCTCACAAAAGAAAAGCCAAAAACAAAAAAAAAAAAAAAAACTCAGGCCTCATTGGCTATCAATCCATTCCTGTGTCTGCATTCAGCAACAACAAACTCTAAAGGTTGACCAGGCTGGAATACCAGTGCCATCTGGAAGTCTTGCTCCACTGAGAGGCTGGGAATGTAGAGAAAGGTGGTGATAGGAACAAAGCCCGCGAGGGTGTGTGCCTGGGCAGTCTGCCCCGAGAGTGGCTCCGTGTGGGCACCCTTTGAAGAGCTCAGTGGGCCTCTCCGCTGCACTGTCACTGGGAGCCAGGATACCTGGGGCTTCTCCCACCCACCCTGCCCCAGCGGCTGAGGTTCAGGCCCTGGTGTCAATGCCCAGGACTGTGCCTCAAGTGGTCACGCAGGGTCCCACAGTCCTGGGCACCCAGGAAGCCATCACCATGTCCAGCATGCCTGGGTGGCAGTGGACAGGGACCAGCGTCAAGAGTGAGGGGAATCTTTCACCTACATCCCCGGGCTCTGTGTCTGGCTTCAGAGGGCTGCAAGTGCCCTAACCCTCCCTAGGAGGGAAAGAAGGAGCCCAAATAAAAAGGACTGCTGTCCACACACGCCACATGTGGGCTGTGGGGCTCTGATGCTCTGGACACTCAAGGGTGAGTTTTCTTACTAGTGAGAAGAATGCATTAGACTTCATGGTGTCGGGGTGGGGGGGGGGGCCTCCTGCTCTGCCAATAACCAAATGCCATTCTGAGGCTCCCCCGAGAGCAGTGACCTCCATGGCCGGCATCTGCATGCTCGGGCACAATTTCCACTGCATCCAAGTGCTAGCTGTTCCATTACCCACTCTGCATTTTTCTGTAGATTGAATCCCTTTAACTTAGATTTATTTGAAAAGGATTATTTTTACATAAGTCATAAATAAAAGATAATATAAAAATCCATGACTATCAGGCTGGAGAGATAGCTCCGTGGTCTAAGCACCTGTCTAGAAAGCACAAGGACCCAAGTTTGATTCCTGGTACCATATGCCATGCCAGCCCTCAAATCCCAGGTGTGCTGTGCCAGCCACAGAAACCAGGAATGTTGGCACAGCCTGTAATCCCAGCACTGGGAAATCTGAGACAGGTGGATCACTATGAGTCTGAACTGTGTAGCAGGACCCTGTATCAAATACTTTTTTTAAAAAAAAAAGTGACTATAAAAACATTATTCTCCTGTACACCATGTAAATTCACGTCCCTTCCCACTGGGATCAGGCATAGCACCCACTTGGGAAAACTAAGCTGGTGCCTGTCGCATCAAGGCCTGTGTCCCAACTATGTCCAAAGGCTACCTGCCACCATGTGACAGGCAAGCCGAATACTCATACAGAATGTCACTTAATCTGCACTGGATTTATCAGCATCCTTCCATGCCAGTGGTGGTGAGGACCATTCTGGTTCCCATTTCACAGATGAGAAAGACGAGACTCCATGAGATGAGAGTGGTGCAAGGTCATGCTCGCAGGCTACACTCTGCTTCTGGACAGCACAGCTCCTCGTGAGCAGTAGGAAACAGGCACACCAACCCCTGTGCTGTCCTCCCTGGTGCTCTGGGTATCATCTTTTCCCAGAACCTTCCTGGTGTGCTTCTGAGGCGGACACTTCAAACACCCACGCTCTCGGTTTCAATATGCTTCTACATGAAGCTGTTGGACTGTTAAGTGCTAGGGTGCCTTTTCCTCAGTTTGCATTATCTGTGTTGTCTGACTACTGAGAATGTGCATTGCTGTTGTAATAAGAAGAAGAGAAGAGGCTTTAAAACCACCATCACTTTGCACCAGGGATAAAAAGGACTCCAGAACGGCCTGGTGACAACACTTGTGATCCCAGCATTTAGAAGACTGAAGTAGAGGGCTGGGGAGATGGCTCAGTAGAATAAGCGCTTTCCTGGCAAGCGCAAGGGCCTGGGTTCAATCTTCAGAAGACTGAAGTAGAGGACAGTGGGTCAAGGACAGCCTGGGCTACACAGCAAGACTCTGACCCAAAAAAAGCAAGAAAAGGTTTTCGTTCTTCCTCTTCTTTCCAGTGTGCCCAAGACGGCATTGCATAAAGGGCAGACTTAGGGAGGACACACACTAAGCTTTATGCAGTGGGGTGAGAAAGGGGCTGGGAGCCTGAACTGGCACCTACATGAAGGGTGGTAGGTACCGATGTCCTTGAAAGTGGTGGCCTGCAGACACAATGGCGCCCCACTTGGTAGCCTGGGTTTACTACCAAAACCAAGACTGGAATAAGCTAATGGTGTTAGATGAGCTGGGCATCCAGGCTGCTGAAAACACAGCTCTCTCAGCTCTGACACGGGGCAGAGAGCTACCACTGTCACTCCATGGGCGAAGCAAGAAGCCCATGTCCTTTGGCTTCCTAAAGCTCATCTCACTGCCATCTTCATCTATGGTGCCAGCTTGGCCTCAGTGAGACCCGGGACGTGGCAACTGATGATGCCTCCTCACAGGGACCTGGTTGGACAGCATGTGCTCGCTCAGAATAGGGCCAGCAGAGGAGGGTGACACCCACTCAGCAAAATGTGGTTTCCCTAGATTCCAGTCCTGGTTTTCCCACTACGGACAGAATAGTCCTTCACAGCAGCAACTGGTCAGTGCTATGACATGGCAAATGCCCTGAACTAATAGTGGCTGTCTGGTGTGGAGTCCGTCCTGGAAAAGAATGCTAAGGCCAGTGTGGGCACAGAAGGAAGAACCTGGTGCTTTATCAGCAGCATAACAGGCCTGAAGGGGGTGGGTGACAGCGGCCCATTAGCTCTAAGCAAGCAGTGCTTCACCCCAGTCTCCTATGCCCTTCCACTCTGAAAAGACCAGAAAGGATAATCTCTAAAGCTTTTTGCCATTGCTGGTCTTGTCCAGCCCTTTTGTCCAGGATTATTCTGCTAGCAGGAGTAGAGTTCTTCCGGCTGTCGCAGAAAATCCAAAGAATCCAGCTCATGAACAGAGACCAGAAGAGGAAAACCAGCCCCAAGTAACTCCACACAACCCTGCAGGAAGAGCTCCAGGGAGAAGCTGAGCTTCCCAGCCACTCCCTCACTCATGTGTGGCCACTTTTCACACTCTGACAAGAGGGGGCTTCTAGGGAGATGCAAAGCTCTTCCTCTGCTGTCTTGAGTCTCTCCCTATAGAATGGCAATCTCAAGACTCTTAGCCAAAAGTAGAACCACCATGTCCAAGCAACCATTGCCCAAAACCACGTTCCTTCCTCCATTTGCTACGGAATCAGTATCTGAATAGGAAGATGGCAGCTGATCACTGCAACACTGGGATGTGTTGGTTTCCCAGAGCTATAGTCTGATTGGTCCCCAAGCATTCATGAACTAGGATCTGGGTCCCCACTGTCACAACATCAAGAGGTAGGAGGACCTCCAAGATTTTTGAACTGGTAGAAGGTCACTGCCAGCACCTTCCTTGGCCCTGGCTTCCCACCTAGCAATGTGGTCTTTTCTCCTCATGGGCTCCCACAGAGATGTTGCCCACCATGAGGTACAGAGTCAGGGGTCCTCAGCAGATGCAGCACCATGCTGTTTGGACTTGCAGCCTCCAAAAGTGTAAAGCAAGAAAGCTTCTTTCTTTAAAACTTAGCCAGCCTTGGGTATTTTATTACAGTAACAGAAACCAGGGACCAGCAAGATAGCTCAGAGTGCACCTGTCATAACACATAAGCTCCACGGTGTATGTTTCTCTTAGGAAATCGAGCATCTTGGAGTGGAAAGGTGCAGAAATTAGCCTAAGTTTCATGTACAAACACTGCTGGAGTTAGGAAACTCAGGAGGAAGACAACAAAAGAAACATGGAGATTCCTATGAATACGGAAATACGGAAAACAACTGCTTCCGGCATCTAGCTCAAGGCTGTACCCATGCTACCAAAATCCAGAGGCGTGCACAGCTCACCTTGTTTAGCCGCTCCAGCATGTCCTTCAGCACCAGCTGACATTCACACTCATTTTCATACCTGCATGGGGACACAAAAGCAAGAGTTGGTGGCATCCATGACTTCACATAGTCAACGAGAGGCTCCATCTGAGACAATTCTCCTTTCAGGAGAAGTTCACTTTAATTATAGATGAGTAGCCAATTCTGTACTTCATTGACAGCTGTTTCCAGACCCTCACACTCCATGGTGCATGAGAAAGTGGTGACATTGGCACACTGTGAATGACAATGTGATCAGGAAAATGGAACAGGAGTTACCCTAGCAATCCACCAACCGCCTCCCACCCAGCCAGCCTGAGGTGGAAGGATTCTACCTTGGCATAAATGCAACACAAACACAGCCTAGCACTACCTTTGAGGCCACCAGACACGGGCTATAGCACTACCATTGCCCTGGCCTATGACTGCCCATTCTCCTGCTCAGCTTCTCCTGGAGCAGCCACATTCCTGGATTATGTCACTTACTCCTCACAACAGCTGAAAGATAGCAGTTATTGCTGTGCCTGGTCCTGTCCAGCAAAGGCAGTGGGCACATAAATACCTCAGCTCCCTCAGGCTCAAAGGGAGGCACTTTCTACATCCACAGACAGAGCACCAGGCTCCTGGACAGTGAGGTGCTTGATAAAGCACCTGCCATTGGCTGCCTCCCCCACCCTCTCACCTCTCTGAGTGATACCAGGGCTCCCTGGGGTCACCCCCGAACAACAACTGACCCCAGAATCCCTATCTCCTGCTCAGCTTCTAGAGGCCTCATGATAAGAGAGGACTTGGACACCCAAATCTGAGGCCTGAGGGAACCCTGCACTACTGGGTGGAGTGGGGAAGCTCCCTGCTGGCTGAAGCCACTGGGCCAAGGCCACATTTGGAACACACACACACACACACACACACACACACAATGAATCAGATGACAGAGTCAAGGGCTGGTGTATTTTTTCTCCTGGTCAGCTTCTTTCCAGATTTCCATAAAATGATAGGTATCCAGAAAGCCAGAAATCATTCTAGTCAGCAAAATCTTCTCTCTGGGGGAATTTTATCCGTGAAAAGAGAAGATCCCTTCCCAAATGATGTCTTCTCTGTTCTTTGTAAACTGTCCCTTGATATAGTTACAGCCCTTGAGGTACAGCAGGCTCCAACTGTGTAGAAGGAAAACTACATTTCCCAGCAATCCTTGCAGCAGACACAGACGTGACTAAGTCCTGGCCAATAAGAGGAAGGTACAAGTCCTGGGCTCCTCTACCCTGCAGCCTGGGACAGGAGTGCGGCCCAGAAGCAAGCTCCCTGCTGGTTGATGCCACCTGGCCAAGGCCACACTTTGAGTAGTAGCAGCCTCCTGGTGTCGCCTCTGCTGCCCCTTGGCTGCCCAAACCCTGAGTTCTAGTTCCTGTGCTGTAGTCCCCAGCTAGGTGGCCTGGCCCCAAATCCTTGTGTGTCTCAGCCTCAGTTTCAGGCAGAAATGGTGGCACACGCCTGTAATCCCAGCATTATGAGAGGCTGCGGCAGGGCAATCACAAATTCGGACCCAGCCTGGGCACTTTCATGAGTTAGCAAGACCCTGTCTCAAGATTTTAAAAATAGGGGGCCAGGGAGACGGCTCAGTGAAATAAGCGCTTCCCTGGCAAACGCAAGGGCCTGAGTTCAATCCCTCGTTCCGAAAAAAGAAAAGATTTTTAAAATAATAAAATAATAAATAAAAGGAGCTGAGCATACAGGACAAAGTTGCAAGTTCAACGCCCAGTACCCGCCTGCCCCCTTCCTCCAGGAAATCTTCAGTTCCATTCTGTAAAATGATACAGGAAGAATAAGGCTGCAAGCATTAAATACATCGCCAAATCGCTGTGCCGAAAGAAGCCTGGCATAAAAGAGTAGATGTTGCAAATTCTAGAACAGGCAAAATTAATCTCCGGTGACAGAAATAAGAAAACGGTGCCTCGGGCTTGCGGAGGAGGGAGCTTGGGTGCAAACGCTCCTGCCGTCTGGGCGCCAGCACGTGACAATTTGCCCAGACTCACCGAGCTGGGAGCTTACAATCTGTACACTGTAATTATACCTAAACTTTAAAATACAGAGAAGGGCCATCAAAATGAAAACGTTGCTTACTTTCCCCTACCACACCCCAGTCCTGGAGCCTGAATCCTGGGCCTTCCTTCCCAAGGACCTACAGTCCCCGGCCTCCCCACTTTTGGGGGGACAGAGATGGGCTTCAACTCAAGGTCCCCCTGCCTCAGCCTCCCAGCGTGCTGGAATTACTCCCACAGTCCTTTCTGTGGTTCCTCGGTTTCTCCGCGCGCGGCTTACTTCGTCCGGAATTCATCGAGTGTGCGCTGCGCCTCAACGCCCTGGCGCTGCAGCCGGGTGCGCTCAGCCGCCAGGTCCCCTGCGCGCCTCCGGTTGGCCTCGGCGTGGCGCGCCAGGGCGTCCTCCGGCCCCGCAAGCTCGTCCAGGCGCCGGAAGGCGTCGAGCTGCCCCCGCAGACCCGCGTGGCGCTGCTCCAGTGCTCTGGCACGCTGCACCTGGATGGCCACGCGCTCGCCCAGACCCTGCAGCGGCGCGGGGCCCGGGGGCCCAGAGATCGCGTCCAGGGCCGCGCACTCGGGCTCGGCCGCGCGCTCGTAGCGCTCCCGGCGGGCCTGGAACACGTAGCTGCGGCGGTACATGGCTCCGTGCGAGCGGCGGCGCGGCTGCGGGCTCCTATATAAACCCCGACGCCCGCCGCGCCTGGCATGTTCCAGAGCCGGCCCACCGTGGCCCCGCGTGCCCAGGCGCGGACAATAGGACAGCAGCCGCAGCTTTGTGAGCGGATTAGCGGCAAGTCCAGAGCCCGGGTGGGGAGGTCGCCGGTTCTGTTCCCTGATTGGGGGGCCCGGGACTGCATGGGATGGGGGAGTGGAGATAGAGGGGTGGGGGTGGAGAGGTGGGGGGTTAGGGGGCGTGGGGAGCACCGGACCCGAGGGGCTGTGCGTGCTGTCCACCGGACCCTGGCAGCTGCGAATGCCACCAAAGCCAGCGTGAATCGCTGAGGCTTCTCCCCTGTCCCCGTGAGAGCGAGTTCCTAACGTGGTCTGTTTCCCTTTTCCTCTGGGTTATGCAGGCTGTTCCTGCCGGAGATAACCTGGTGTGGGGCCCCCTCCTGCTAGGGGATTCTAGTCAGGGGCGTGACAGGGGCGTTCACCTCGCTTGGCAGGGAGCATACGCCCGTGAGGTGTTACCAGCTCCCGTCTTTGCTTTCCCGGATTTTTATGGTTTGGGGTATTTTGTTTTGTTTTGTTTTTTGTTTGTTTGTTTGTTTTTCTCCGCTGGAAAAAACAAGTACAACTGGGGGCCAGGGAGATGGCTTAGTAGGATAAGCGCTTGACTGGCAAACGCAAGGATCTGAGTTCAATCCCCAGTTCCGCAAAAAAAAATAATAATAATAAAATAAATAAATAAACAAGTACAACTGGGAAAGATGCAAGAGATGGAAGGGGGAAAAAAAGATGGAAGGAAGAAGAGGGAAGGAGAAATAAAGAGAATTAAGATGTGTTAAGTGCAGGCACCAAGGCCCCACATGAACGTGATCACTGTGCCCTGAAAACATGGGCTAATAAAAACAAAATTAAAAAAGTAAAACACGGGGCTGGTGAGATGGCTCAGTGGTCTAAAGCACCTACTTAGAATTAGAACAAGTTTAGCAAAGCACAGGGACTACATTTCAATCCCCCAGCACCACATGCCGGCCAGCCCCGCCCCCTGGTGGGCTGGGCTGGCCACACACACACACACACACACACACGCATAAATAAATAAATAAATAAATTTTTTTTTTAAAAAGTAAAACACCACCCATGACATGATGAATAGGATCTTTCAACTAAAGAAAAATCCATACCCTCTACATTTAATGAACTGTGACAGGTGTGGTGGCGCACACCTGTAATCCCTGCACTCAGGAGGCTGAGGCAGGAACATTGCTGCAATTGAGCTCAAAACTAGCCTAAACTACATAGGGAGACCCTGACTTTAAAAAAAGAAAAAAAAATAGAAATAAAGTCAATAAACTGACAAACTGTCAGTTGGATTCTGGCCAGCAGTTTTCACTTTATTCTTTATTATGGAAATAATGGATTTTGATGGTAAGCTCATATATACAAAATATTTAATAGCCAGACTATGACAAATTTGAAAGTAAATTGCAGTGGGCATGAAAAGAAATTAATACCATTTGATGAGAATGTTCCTCACTATAAATATTTTGTCATAGCTCCAGCCCTAAAAATCATTATCAAAAGAAGTGTTCTTAAAAATAAGGATTAGCAGAAGCGTATAATTACTAGCTGTATGAATTGCACATAATTATACTACAAACTGAAGTCATGGCTCTCAAAGATAGAAAAGGAAAGTTACATGGATCTTTGCTAAGTTTATTATGGCTCCAAAGAGCCTGTGAATTCATGGACTCAGAGGATAAAGCTATGTGAGGTTCTAAACCATGCTGGTGGGGGTATCGCCGTTTCCTTCTAAGCAGTTTAAAAGTAGGTTTTCTGGTCAAATCACACAGGGCCTCAGGAGCATGCTGAAGTCCACACCTAGGGCCCCCGTGGCGACGCTGACTTGGTTTCAGACACCCCAAGAGCAAAGCGTACAGAACAGGAACTGTTAGTCATGGTGCCCCATGACATCGAGTGGCGAGTGGCACTGCTTCGTGGCGAGTGGCACTGCTTCGGAACAAACCACCCCAAGGTCTGTGACTGTGAGGAGCAGTATTCACGCTGCCCCAGGGCCCAAGGGCGGGGCTTCCGTTGCTCTCCCGGCCCCATCCTGCGGCCAGAGCTCCAGGGCCGCCCAGGCAGTGTGTGGCGTCTGCTCACTTCCTGTTGGGCAGAGCAAAACACAGCCAGAGTACCGAGCCAGGGGAGAGACCGGCTCACCCTGAGGCCATGGCAAGGGCAGGGGTGGGGGTGACTGTGAGACTCCAACTGAGCCCTTGGAGACAAACGTTCCCCAGAAAGAACAAAGGGAGGAGTGCTGCTCCCCTTTAATCCACTGGAACAAATCCTTACGAAATACCTACTTACAAAGCATACCTTCAGGGGGGTTCATTTTTTTGTTTTGCATCTCTGCATGTAGTCCAGGCTGCCTTAAGTTTGCTGTGCACCCCATGCAGTCCTCCAGCTTGCAACCCCCCCTGTCTCAGCCTCCCAGAGTGCTGGAATTATAGGCCTGCACCTCCACACCAGCTGAGAAAACTGAACAAAGTAAAGTCCCTGCCTTTGGGGTGAAAGGGATAAATTCTTATCCAACTGACAAAAAGATACAAAAAAAGTCAGGATAAACTGAGATAGAGATTTTAACAAAATGTTATGCTCAAAGAAAAAGGGAGTGTAGTTAGGGTGTAAGTGGGGAGAGTCAGGTCCTAGAAGGTGGAGGACCACAAGGGGCTGATGGGAGCAGCAACAGAGTGAGCTACACCCCTGAACTTGGTGAGGCTGATCCCAGGGTCCCCAACGATACAGATCATGAAGGCAGTAAGACTCACACCAGATGGCCACGCTGAACCCCTGCATGATTGCCCCTTATCCAAGCCCAGCTCAAAACTGGCTGCAAAACACTGCCTTCCCAGCATTCAGGAGACTAGGCAGGACATCCATGAGTTCAAGGGCAGCCTAAACTGCATAGTAAGACCCTGTCTCAAGAAAGCAAAATGAAGATTTTCTCTCAGAGTGAAACTTCACAAAAGAATAGAAGAACAAGTTACATCGGACAGTATATATCATGAATCTTCAGAAGACTAAACAGAGTGAGTTCTGTGGGGTGGAGAAAGCTGAGGGCCAAAAGCCTACGGGAGGAGTGGGAAAGAGAAGCCACAGAGAACCAAAGAAAAGCCGTCTGTGGCAGAAGTGCATCCCTGCATCACACGGGGGGGATGAAGTGGACCATGTTAGTTTACCCCACTGAGACAAATGTACTCTAAAACTGAGGTTTTAGAAAGTGAGGTCCAGCACAGAGGGGTGTCCAGGGGCCAGTGTGCACTGGGATGATCTCTTTCCCTTTTTGTATTACAAGGACTCTTGTAACCTGGGGAGAAACGGCAGCAGGAATGAGGGAAAGATAGACAAGAGACCCGAGCTGGGTTTGGGTGGGGGGCTGTTTGCCTGATGAGCAAAAGAACCAAACAACAACAGTGGGGGTGTTTATTTATACACCTGCAAAGTTAGCAACACTACACACAAGGTTGCCTTAGTGACTAATAGCTGAAATTGTCCACACAGGATTTTTTTTCCAAGACTGAGCAAGCTGGACTGCCTTGTCGAGCTTTAGCTGCTCCAAACACTACAACCCAGCAACTTCCCAGCCCTGGGGTGACAGGTGACATGGAAGTTATTACAGGATGACAGGGCCCAAGGTCTCAGACACAGCCGTGGACAGGAAGGAGACCAGGCTTAAAACAGGGATCTGCAGGAGCAGAGGCCGGGTAAAGGCTGAGTCTGTGTCCCCCTGTCACCAGTTGCCTGGCCTTTAGCTCCCCGCCTAGGAGATTCACAGTTTTAGAGAAAAAGATTGGTGTCTCCAAACTGGGAATGGCCACAGACTGAAAGCACTCTGAAGAAAGAAGAGGAGGAAGAATAGAAAGGAAAGGAGGAGGAGGAGGAAGAGAAGAAGAGGA